TTTATGAGTGTTACCTAGTGCAAAACCCATCGAGCATTTTTCCTCCTTTTCTTTTCTTATTTTGTTATTGTTGCTACTTGTCTTTGTTGAAGTTCATTCAAAATCCTTAAGGTCAGCTTAAATTAACACTTTGTCCTCTAGTATCGAATAAAACTCTTTGGAATATCACACTCGAATTTTGCATTTGTACAAAATAGGTAAGTTTTCAACTTCGGTGGGATCATGGCTCTAGCCTCCATTGTGTCCATCTTCGGGTGAATTAGATGTTGCTTCACATTTAGATGTTGATCCCTATTATGCACTCCCTTATATATATATATATATATATATATATATAAAGTCAACTAATTTCACTTTTTCTCGTTTATGTTTCGAAATTTTTGCTTAGTGTCGTTATTGCTACAAACAATCTCTTAATTTGTCACATCAAACAATATTAAAAAAATAATGTAGTTAAAGTATGAGATTGTTGGTGAGTTAACACTTCATTAGAAACGTGCTTCGAGATCAAATCCTAGATTGATATTGACTTCTTCACTTAGGCATGCTCATAACAGTGACGACGGTGGTTAACAAGATCCATAATTCAAGTATGCCTTTGGTTCGACCTCAAGATCTTAGGTAGTTTTCTTATGCATCTATATGGCAATGTCTAGTATCTTCCTTTTCTTTAGCGTTTGAGTAGGCTCCACTTCTTGTCATCCTTTATCTTCAAGCTATTTATTTTCGCAGTATCATAAAACAATTAAGCATGTGATATCATCATGATAACAAGTACAACAATTTGAATTATTGATTCTTCTTAATACATGCCTCGATTATGCATCAAACGAAAAAATAATAATAAAAGAAAGGAGCATATATGTGTCTAGATCATACCTAAGTAACTTATGTCTTAAAGCTTCTTAGCACAAATATTATAATTACTTTCTTTTTTTTAGGATTATTAGGATTGTAGCTACTTTTTTGTTGCTCTTATTTCGCCTAGATAGTCCGTGAAGTATTAAGGCGGTATTAATTTTTCCCTTTCGGTAGGAAAAAAGCATTTCATAAGTTTTTTGAGGTCTTGATACTTTTTTAATTGTCTTCATGTATCTATTTTGGCACTCGCTAGGTCTCGTTCGCTCTCTTTTTTCTTTATCTTAAAAACAACTATCTTGCATTGTGTTTTTTCATAATTTTGTTATGGGTCTTATGTTAGTCTGCTATTATCATGTCCTCTCGTTTCTTTTGAGGATGTCTTATTTATGTGTGGTTGTTTAAATTAGATGGCTTTCTTTGTGAATTTGGATTTGTTAGTTCTAGATGTTGTTTTATTGAAGAGTTCTACTACTCATTTTCTTGTAAGTCCTCCTTAGGTGGCTTTTCAAGTGGCCTTGATTGCCCCTCTTTGGTATCATACAATCTTCTTCAACATTGGTTCCTTTCATCCTTCTTTTTTATGTCGTGCTCATGCTTTCTCTCTTGTCTTCTTCGGAAATCTGTCGGTGTTGTTTTATGTCTGTTGTGGGTCCGGTGGTCGGTCTAGTTGTTTTCTTAGTCTTGGTAGTTTTTCTTCTATTCTTTAGGGTTTCTCAAGATGATCGAAAGCTATATTTTTCTATCTTTTTTTAACTTGATTTGACAAACGAAAAGCACTGGGCACTCGCCATATCATGACGAAGCTATTATTGATCCTTTATTTGGTTGGGCTTTTGATACTTCAATTATGCCATGAAAAGAGCTCCAACTTTTTTCTTCCGACTTTTTAATTTATGTTGCTACCCATTTTTTTGTCTTAATTTTATTAGATATTCTAACCTCGCTATTAACTTTTATTTTTTCGGAGTTACTAATGGGTACCAAAGATATAGCTATATTTTGCTACCGTAATGAACATATTATAGATGGAGAAGAAGGACCATGTTACAATAATCCACTAATGAAGGCCATTAAAGTGACTTGAATAATAAAATATTATGAGTTACTAGATAAACTATATGCTATTACGAGATTTGATAAACAATATGTACAACTAAAGTTAGTTTGCGGATATCCTACAATTGTACGGACATCAATGATCAAGTATATTCGCTTATGTATTATTGATGATAGTGACGTAGACATTATGCTTGAAATTCCTTCTATTTATGCTTTAGTTAGTAACATTGAGTTGTACGTTGAGATAGAAGCTCGTACTTATTGAATCGACTCGAGCGTGATATTCGAGGAATTAGTTCGGATGTATTTAGGTAGTTGATCACTCAGAAGATAATAATTTACTCAATTCTCTTCTACATTTTGATAGAAATCATGTTTTTTCTCTAAATCGTCCAACTTCTTCGATTCGTTGGTGCAGTGCATAGATATGATCATGAAAGTGATGCAAGTGTGGATATAACCGTAATAGACGAATGGTTGACTATGAAAGTGTTAGTATATTTGGGTATGCATGTGAATAATAACTTAATAAAGGAAGAAATTGATGTGGGTGAGAAAAGGGAAGAATTTGAAGAATTAGAAGAAGAAGATGAATACAATGAGAGCTGAAAATGTTACTATGAATGTGAAATGTGATGATGGTATGGTAAATTCATAAGAGCTACCATTTTTAGAAGATTGTGACTTAGAGAATGAGCGAGAGTCAACCACGAAATGAACCGGACACACCTTACTTCAAAGATGTAGATTAGGTAGACGCTGCTCGTGGTAAGTAATTGGACTCCATTATCTCAAAATTAGATGGAATCCTAATAATGAGTTAATTAATGGGTTAATCTTTTAAAATAAGAAAGAATTACGAAGAGCAATAAAATTATACTCCATCAAGCGACACCGACAAGCATGAAGTTCTTGAAACTAAAGAAAAGGTATGGAGTTTGAGATGTAAAAGGCATAGGAAAAATAGGTGTAAATGGAGACTTCGTCCATTCAAATGGAAGGGTCATTGATTATTTGAGATTACACAATATGTTGGTTCCTATACTTATGTTTATCCAAGTCTTAGTTAAGACCATCACTAGCTAGATGTAAATATCCTAACTCAAGAAATAAAAAGTCAAGTGAAGGTACAACCATCTATCACAATAACAACTTTACGTAAAAAGGTCAAAGTTTTATTATAATGTTTCATATAAAAAGATGTGGCATGCAAAACAAAAAGCAATCGAAAGGTGTTTGATGACCGGGATACATCTTAGCAAGTGCTTGTCAAAATTTATGAAAGTTATTTAAACATATAATGGTGGCATAATTGTAAAGTGACTCTATGTTCTTCTATAAGATCTAAATTTAGCTTTGTTTAAATATGTTTTTTTTTAGTTTTTTAGCATCTATCGAGGGGTTTAAGCATTGTCGAGTAGTAATTAGTATTAATGGCACATATTTATATGAAAAATATACAAGAAAAATGTTGATTGCAATGGGAGTTAATACAAATGGATAACATTTTTTGTTTGCATTTGATAATATGGAGGAGTCTTTTGATAGTTGAAGTTGGTTTCTACTTTGCATTAGAGAGAAGGTCACTAATCATAGAGGTATTTTTTTGATATCAAATTGCCATGCCGGCATTATTCGTTGCAGTGAATGAACATGGTTCAAGATGGAAAGAGCCTTCTATGTATCATCATTTTTGCCTAAGGCATTTATACAATAATTTTAATGATAGATTCCATAGCAAACATTTAAAAAATCTTGTTTATAAAGTTAGAAGTGCACATCAATTGAGGAAGTTTAATGTTATTATGGATGACATTGGAAAGTCTAATTCCGAGGCTCAAAAATGGCTATAAGAAATTCCTAGAGAGAAATTGACATTAGTATATGATGGAGGTTAATAGTATGGAGTAATGATGACTAATTTATCCGAGATATTTAATAATGTATTAAAAGAAGCTCGTAATTTACCCATCACCGCTTGTGTGCAACCGACATTTTATCGATTGGTAAGTTACTTTAATGATAGATGAAAATTTTCAAAAAAAGTTATTGATGAACGAAAAATTTATGCTTGTTATATCCTAGCAAAGCTTAATGCAAAGTTAAGCATGGCTAATGTACAAGAATTCATTCCATTTAATGAGAATAGAGGAATATTTGAAATAATAACGAGCACTTTATGGTGAACGAATGTAATGGGTCATAATAAACAAGTTGTTCAGCTAAATAATAGTAAATGCTCATGTAGTAAATGAAACATCCATAAATTTCAATATTCTCATGCATTAGCGAGTGTGTGGAAAAATTGGCTCTTGATAATTGGCAATTTATTGATAAGTATTACAATATGCAAGAGCATTTACATACATGAGCACCACAGTTTCATCTTATTATTCATCAAGATTATTGGCCGAAACTAGCATTCCAAGATTATATCCCGATCTTGATCGTCGGTGAAAGAAAAATGAAAAGCCAAAATCTACTCGTATTCAAAATGAGATGAATATTAGGGAAGGTCGAGCCACAATACATTGTGGATTGTGTAAACAACCAAGTCTTGATCGTCGAACTTGTCCATCAAAATAATTATAATTATATTTTTTTATTTGGTTAATATATTTCATGCTTTTATAAGAGATATACATCTAACTTGTCTTTTTTTTTTTTTTTAATATTTTACAATTTATAAATTTTGGATGTCAAACAGCGATGCATAACATGGATTTCTTGGTCACAAGATTCTTCATAAATAGATTAGAAAGCAAGATACATTTTATTTATTTTTCTCATACTTTACTTCATTTTATTCCGAGACTATATAGTACAAGTATTTGAAATATACGTGGCTTCTACTCTAAGTGCACACAATGTCTACAAGAGCACCTTTTTATAGCTTCAATTTGAAAGAATCCCAGTGGTGGGAGAAAGGAAGGAATGCTGTAGTTGCTATGCAGGAGTATGTTTTTTTTTTGTTTTTTTTGTTTTTTTGTTTTTTTTTTTTTGGTAAATTAAATTCTTATGGATCAAAAAGAATGGCGGGGAGGGGAGCGGTGCTGCACTAAGACCACCAACAATCGAATTTATTTATGGATGGCTATAGGTCGTTTATCTGGCCATGATTCTATTCTTTCAAAATACTTGAATGGTACGATGCCATCAACACCTTTAGTCAAAATCACCCTATTGTCTGAAACGTAAAGTTTCATTTCCTCTGAAATCAAACATTATTGCAAACACAGAACAAAGAATTAGTTTTCATCCGTGCTTGTCCACCATTATACTAAATTTTGAATTGAATATGCATTCATATTTCATCTAACTTATTATTTGCTTGAAAAGGTCAGAGGTGTTAATGTTATACCTTTCGGGGCTTTTCTAACATCAAGAAATATCAAACAATTAACATCTCGTCTCATACTTAAAAGATGAAAAAAATAAATCAAATATATCATACGAAGCCATCCAGAGTCTTAAAATTTATGCTTTCTAAGTGATTTATCAATTGAATAGACTTGATTGTTTGAACATAAGCCAATCAAGGGTTCAGATTAGGAAATAATTGTATAAAAAAAAAAAAACATATTCCTACATAGCAACTAAAGCATTCCCTCCTTTCTCCCATCATTGGGATTCTTTCAAATTGAAGCTACAAAAAAGGTGTTCTTTTAGACATTGAGTGCAGAAGCCACATATATGGGTGATAGAGTGACTAAAAATGAAAACGCACAATCAATTTATAAAGTAATTAACGACTGATAAAAATACAAGTTAAACATTGGTAGTGTATATGTGGGGTTTGAAGAGATTCCAATTAATATAACTGATGTTTTAGGTACTAAGAAAATTATAATGTGCAATAACTCAACATTAGTACTCCAATATATTAGTACTCTAACATGAGTATCAGAACCATAGATAAGAGGAAGTAATCAAATTTTGTTATACCTCTTTTCAAATTTTTCCTTCTCCACATATTGTAAGTGCAATAACTCAATATTAGTACTCTAATAATAGCTGATAGAGTTGCACCAATTATAATCCAAGTTCTTTTTTCTCCTGTAAAGCAACAATGTTTTTGTTCCACATCATTTATAGAGAATTAAATGTGTAATACTTTGTTTTACTTGAAGCAACACTAATTCAATTAGACAATTAATTGTTGCATATCATTATTCAAGATAATGAAATCAATAATATTGATCGATGATTTAAGAAATGATAAAAAAGAAACCAAGAACCTTTTCAATTTGGTCCAGGACCTCGAGATATAGGGGGAAGAACAACTAGCGTAGGTGGTGGTGCCATTACCATGACAGCAATTTCATTGTAAAAAGAATACATTTCAAATCGAAAATTACAGCTTAGAAATAAGACTCTTCCTCCTTGCTTTTTGTCACAACAAATTTGTAACCCGGTGCTAGCTGCTTGAAGACAGCGTTCACATTCGGAGGTTATATCAATTCTCCATGAATATCAAACCCATGGTACCGAAATGAATATAATGCCATAGTCATTACAACAACCAAGGAAATCAAAGTCCCTACAACTTTTGCTATCCCTCGAGGATTTCAAAGATCAAGAACCTCCAACTAGCTTAAAATTTAATAATTTAGAATAATTCACTAGGTAGCTGAAATTTCTTAACAAGAGTAATTGCCTTTCTAATTATAATTAATATTGCTACTTACCTGAGTATAACTGCGATTACGAATGCCAAAGGAATGATAGAGTTAAACATTGATGCGACACCAGTAGGAGAGGTGTATCTCAAGCTTGCAAAGAATTAATGTCCGCATATCACACCTAAGCAATAACCTAATAAACAAAGACAAGCAGCAGTAACCAATAGATACCTGACCCACTGAAGTTATAGCATGTCATTTGATAATTTACTCCTATCAGGTGCAAGAATTACCTTCATCCCTGTCAAGACCAAGCCAAGAAAGATCCCGAAGTACTGCCTCTTCAGATTCTTTAGTCGACCTCTCCAAGTCAGTATCCTCAATCCTCAACACAAATTTCCCACCTTTAGAGCTAAAACCACAAAATGAACAAAAACCCATTTCAACCACTCGATTTGCAAAGAAACAAGCGATTAAATTGAATAAAAAAACAAGAAGATAAGAAATCCAAATCACCTGGTGAAGAGATAATTAAAAACAGTTCTAGCACCACCAACATGGAGATTTCTAATAAGGCAAAAGAGTAAAATGGACTCTAATACATTTTTTCTCAGTACCAGCCATGGCAGAGATTGAAAACCATCTTCTCGTTAGAAAAACAAATGAGACTTTTGGTTGGAAAGAGAAGTGAAGAACCTAATTTTTTTTTTTTTTTTTTTGAAGTAGTTTGGTTTCACTGTTCCTGTGGCAAGTTTTTTTTTTTTTTTTTTTTTTTTTTTTTTTTTTTAAGTTTCACTATATATATTTTTTCCCCTTTGCTTTTTTTTTTCCTCATCAATTTAGGTTTTTTATTTAATTTTTTAAAATTATTAGGTTTATTTTATTTTGATCTCTAAAATTTTAATCCTCTAATTGATGCACTGCACATGGTCATTTGCCTTTTTCCATCAATTTATGTTATTTTGAAAAATTAATTTTGCTTTTTTTTTTCATCAATTTATGTTTTTTCCATTTAATCAGGTGTTGAAATTTTAAAAAATCAATTGTTATTTTTCTTTTTTACACAAATTGAGTATTATATAATATATACAATATTGTTTTATATATATATATATATATATATATATATATATATATATATATATATATATATATATATATATTTTACTTATGTGTTCTTTTTATAATTTTCATAAATTTATGTTTTTTTTATTTAATTAGGTGCTTTATCTACTCGTAGTATTGCGTAAATAATTTCAAAAATTATTGCTCACATCAATATTAAATAAGAATTTTTCTCATTTGTTAATTTTAGTAAAAATCTATCCATTAATTATAACTTTATTTTTTAGAATAAAATATTATGAAAATTATATTTTAAAAGTTTTTTAATTCTTGATTAATATTTTAGTTAAAATTATTATATTTTCTATTTTAAAATGAATCCCTAAAGAAGAATGATTTATGTGTGTTTTTAAGCAGAAAATTTATTAAAAAAACTAAGTGAATAAAAATTATCAATTTTAAAAATGATTTTTTTCTATTAAATCCATAGTGTAGCTCGGGAAGGTGACTAGTTATAGAACTAATTGGTTCATAGAGCATATAGATAGTAAGAGGTCATTTGCTTTTTAAATTTTATTTTTCGTTTGTTCAAAATTATCTTCTTAGACATGTGTCACAATTGTAAAGTCTTTTAAAGAAAAATTAAATTAAATCTTAATTCTAAAAGAATAAATGACCTCTCTCTCTTACTTGCGAATCAGGTTTAAAGAGATGAGGCATTAAGTTGGTGGTGATGAAAAGTCGAGGATAGTTTTAGAACAATTAAGTGAATTAAAATAATGAACTTAAATTCATTAAATAGAGTGGAGTATTCAATTACGTGAAGTAAAAATTAAATTCACCCCACACAATGCATGATTTACGGATAATTGTCTCTTTGACAGTGTAATACTACCAAGCTTGTTATAATTTCTCCATTACAAATTTCTTAGCGGACTAAGAGAGAAGATCCACCATGTTTGGGCGGATTCTACATATGGCCTCCATTAGCTTAACTCTGCACATGAGTGTGTGCATGTTCTCAGTCATGTCAATTTCCTTTCCATCAACCTTCTCCCACTCGAAGCATTGAATCAATGAACCTAATGTCATTGCCATTACTCTCTATGCTAAGCTTTAACTAGGGCTGATGAGAATAAAGAAAGTCAAGGCAGTATTAATGAAAACCAAGGAGCCAAATGGGTTAGCAAGGTGGTGTCTCAAAGATGGATTTAAGATGGCGAGTTTATAAGTCTAAGATTTAATCCATTACATATTAAAGATGGTCCAATGATGTGGGCTAAGGTTAAGAAGCTTAAAGAGCTCTCCATGAACTAATTTAGGAGTGTTGGATAGAATGCATTTCCAAAAGGCCAAAGGAGCATTGTAGTGTCATTTTAAGAGATGAGGGGGATCCCAAACTTGTTAATTTGATCCAAGTTCAAGATTGACGTTCTTAAATTATATTGAGCCTATTTTGTTATATCTAGCTTAATTATAATTAGAACTACTTACTTAAGTCGATTTGAGCTCAATGTTTTAAGCTCAATTTAATTATAATTAGAACTAACTAATTAAGTCGATTTAGGCTCTATGTTTTAAGCCTTATTATTTGCATATGTTTTTAAGTCCATTAGGGTTTGTTTCTTTTCTCCTTAAGTGGCAAGGATGTGTAGAGTCCTTTTAAGGTTAGGAGTGATGTGTTTAGTCTATTTAAATACTAGTTTAATTTTGTTTCGAGGGAATATAATAATTTTAAGAGTTAATAAATTTGAGAGGATTTTTCTTTCTTTATTCTTTTGAGAACTAAATTTGACTTATTAAGGATTGTAACCCTCTTAGCGCCTTTAAACTTATCATCCTCCATAGGGTGTGATGTTCTTCACTTCATTGTAATATAGCTTCGGTTCTTGGCTCCTTATAAGCAACGAGTCGGGTTTCACTTACTATAACCCTGATTAGGCACGTTTTGGGGTTGTCTAATGACAAAGGTGTTTGGATTTCTCGTCTTTATACGTGGGGTTCACATCGGTTGGTATCGAGTCTAGGTTATGTAAAGTCGGGTTGGTTATTCATATTCCTTAGATCATTTATTTCATATTAGTCTTGTTTTATTTGTTGCGACTTCCTTGTTATTCTATCATAGCTTTTCTTGTTTGAGTCTCATGTTTCTTTGCTTGATAAATTGAGTCTTATATTAAAAAATGAGGGGGAAAGTCTAATTTGTAGTTAACTTCATTTTCTCAATATAAATCGGGTTATTTTTCATTATCTTTTATTCTATTTCGTGTCTTTGTAGTTAGTTTCGTTTTAGTCAAAATTAAATTAGATTCAATTAAAAAAAAAAAAGAAGTCTAATCTGTTTTGTTTATCCCATTATGTCTCATTTTTTTATTGTTTTGTTTAAATTCAATTCAAGTAAGTTCTATTGTCATTCTTAGTATTCAAAAACTTAAAATTCTTATTTGAATTGGTTTGTTAGTTTCTTTTTTCAAATTTGTTTGAAATTCGATGCTTGAAAAGTGAAGTTTTTGAGTCACTTGCAATTGATTAGTTCAAGTGTGGTTTGGATTAGTTTGAAAAAAAACCAAAGAAGTGAGTTAGAGTGGTAAAAGGCTGAAAAGTGTGAGCATATGAAAGAAAAAAAGTCCAAAAAAGAGAAAATTCGAGCATTGAGTGTCATCAATTTGAGTGAAATATGTGAGGGAGTGTGTGTAAGGAATTTTTATTACTAACGAATTTTATGTAGATTTTTAAACATGTCAAAAGATAAAAATCCTAAAAGAGAGGGTGAAGTGATTGTTGTTGTTGATGATGATGTTTATGATGAGTCATTAGTAATTATGGACACTTTAAGCATGTAAGTGAAAAGTGAAGATGAGAGATGAAGAGATAATATTTTTCATATCCGCTGTTATGTCAATAATAAGGTATGTTGTTTGATAATAGATGGAAGTAGTTGTGTCAATGTTGCTAGTCTAAAGTTAGTCGAAAGGTTACGTTTGCTTGTAGTTGAACATCCTAAGCCATATACATTGCAATGGGTAAATGAGTGTAGAGACGTTGAGGTAAACAAACAAGTGATAATGTCTTTTTCTATTGGGAGACACAAGGATGAGGTTTTGTGTGATGTTATGCCGATTAGTGCGGGTGGTATTTTGCTAGGAAAACCTTAGCAAGTTGTTAGAAAAGTGACATATGATGAGTTTAACAACGGATATTCATTTGAAATGAGGGCATGAAAAGTAACACTTGTTCTATTGTCACCTAAGCAAGTTTACGAGGACCAAATGAGCGTGAAAAAAGAAATTAAGAGAAAAAAAGTTGAGAGCACTCAAACTTTCAATCATAAAGACGAATATGTTGTCGTTGATTTATGAGTGTTGAGATCACTCAAATTTTTAGTCATGACAATGACTATACTGCTACCGATAAAGAGTTACCTAAGGAGGATTACAAGCTCGAGGTCGAGACATCCAAAGTCAATCTTGATTTAAGAGAACTAGTGCTCGAGGAGAAGTTAAATAGTATTAAATGAGAAGAGTTTATGCTCATTAAAAATTTTGCAAAACACTAAGAAGAGCTAAAAATGAATGAGTTTGAAAATCTTATAGCCGTGTAAGAGGAGGAAGATAATGAGAATATTGTGGATGTTCAAGAGAATATAGTATATATTGAATTTGTTCTTTTAGAGGAGATGAATGGCAATAAAATCAAATCTGATTTTTTTTTTTTTTTGCCATTATTTGAGTGTATTTTGCGAGTTGGGCACGTGTTTTTGATACTTTGTTATTACTAGATTTGAGGATGAGCATTCACCAATTGAGGGAGTATGATGAGCATCAAGATGAAGATTCGAGGATGAATCTTTTTGAGAAAAGTGGGAATGATGAGAATAAAGAAAGTCAAGGTTACGTTAATGGAAACCAAGGAGCCAAATGGGCTAGCAAGGTTGCATCTCGAAGGGAGATCCAAGATGGTGACTTTGCAAGTTTAAGATTTGATCCATTACACATTGAAGATGGTCCAATGATGTGGGCTATGGATAAGAATGTTAAAAAAGCTCTCAATGGGCTGATTTAAGAGTGTTGGGTGGAATTCACTTTTAAAGGACCAAGGGAGCATTGTGGCACTATCTTAAGAGAGGAGGGGGATCCAAGACTTGTCAATCTGATCAAAGTCCAAGATTAGGCTTCTTAAATCATATTAGGCCTATAGTATAATTATAATTATAATTAATTAATTAAGTCAAATTTGGGATCAATGTTTTAAGTCAAACTTAATTATAATTAGAACTAATTAATCAAATCAGATTTGGGCTCTATGTTTTAAACCTTATTATTTGTATATGTTTTTAAGCCCATTAAGGTTTGTTTCTTTTCTTCTTAGGTGATAAGGATGTATAGAGTTCTTTTAGATTTAAGAGTGGCGTGTTTAGCTTATTTAAAGGCTATTTTAATTTTGTTTTAGGGAGGGGGACACAATAACTTTGAGAGTTAATAAATTTAAGAGGATTTTTCTTCCTTTGTTCTTTTGAGAACTAAATCTAACTTATCAAGGATTGCAACCCTTGTGACGTCTCCGAATTTATCATCCTCC